AAAAATATTATTTCTGTTACCATGTATAATTCATTTGTCTATGGCTTTTGAAGTTAATCGATAGTAGGATATGCTTGCCCGCTAGTTTCCGGTAATCACATGGACTTGAATCGGGAGAATAAGTGAATTGTAATAGCCAAAGTTGGATTCTCTTTTTTTCAATCCAAAAAATAATTTAGGCGTGGCGATGAGATCTGGTATTGTGATCAAGTAACCAGACTGCATGCTTTCGATTGTCATACTGACGGTCCACGAGTCTCTCGAGGAACTCGGAACAGTAGGCTGCATTTGTTCCTTCATTTTACGCCAGTATCTCAGAGTAGCAGATGCCGCTAAAGTAAAAAATTCCAAGTACTACTATCCTCATACGTCCGAGCCCACTGGACACTACTGAACTCATAAATCTTCCTATAACCAAAGCGGACTATTGGGTGTGAAAAAAGGTCAAAAACCGAATGTGGTAGCTTTTTCACTTGCGCGACACCGGAGTGAACATCTTTTGCATGGAAGTCCATGTCGGGGGTATTGTTTAGTATCAATGAAAAGAATAAATAAACTCTCGACACTAAATCAAAATGCAATACATGTTCATAGAATTAAGTCTCAATTTTAAGGTTGACACTGCCGTTTTGGACGTAAAAACTTGACGTGATGTTCTGTGTAAAGAATGTTTTTCTTAATACCAGTTGACAAATCTAGATGCGATGAATACAAATCTAATACATATACCTATACCTAAAATATATATTTTTGGATGTAAATTGCGAATACCCTATGGGTCATATTAGCATATATAATATATGAAATGATTTATTAACAAAGGAAAATTTTTAAAAAATCAGAAAAGTCTTCAAGCTTTGGTGATGTCCTAAAAACAGAGATAATATATCAGCCAAGACCTATAAAGTCACCATGAAATGTTTATTAGACCTTTATTTAGTATGATTATTTGCGTTTTCTATGTACCTACTTATTTAAAAAAATAGGTGAAATACCGGTAAACCTTGACGACGTTTCGGGAACACAATCAAACAAAACATATCAATCATATTTATCCTATTTAAAATAGTAGGATATGTAGTAGTATATGTAACAGCTTCCAATAAAGAAAAAGAAAAAAATAACCGACTCTATCAATGGCAACATTTATTAAAAATGAGTCGAAGGCCTACTTGACCTACGTTTGTCCCTCAGAGACAGGCGCTACCACGTGCGTTCCGGAAACAAAATCAATTAATCAAATTGTAAAAATGTACAAAAAGCTGATACAATACTGATAGAATAATATAGAACAACATAACAACAATAACAAGAATACAATAGTACTGATAAAATAACTGCACTAGGTCGGGTAGAACAGAATAGTTGTAACGGAATAACTGTTTATCTTATAGTTTCCGTTAGATTTGCTGTAATATTAGTAAATCAAGTTCGTTAAATAAATGACAAAGTAGGCGCAGAACAAAGCCCACGAGTCCACATAGTACACCACCAAAACTGAGTCCATCCGTCTATTTCTTTTTCAATGAATGTGTCGGTCGTCCACAAATCGATCTCGTAGAATGGCACATTTGAAGAGCCATCAGGCGCTTATGATGCAGCAATCCATCAAGCGCATTGTATTGACGGCCGTGAATAGACTAGGCTTTCTAGTAGACAAGAGCTGCAATATGTTCCAGAAGATGCCGCCTTCAGTAAAGTTTTTGCTCAACGCGCCTACAGGCAAACGTTTACCTTAGACGCCATTTGAACTGCTTTACGGCTACAAGCCATACTACCTTCTATGTGAGAACACCGGGAGCGGAAATGCCGCGGATTGCGTAAGATGAGTATGGCCGACTACAATGATGAAAACGCAGGTTGAGCAGAAGAAGTTCGCCCCGCGGGAATTTAGGACAATACTAGTAGAACCCCAGAAGGCAATGCCGAGGTTGACCAAGAAGTGGCGACTCTTCTACGGGGAACTCTTTAAATGTGAGTGAAGTGGCACCATACACTACAAAGCCATCGATTCTTAATCACGTAAACTGACCGTAAACGAGAGGAATATAGGGCAGTGTGTTGGGGAAGATACGCACCACAGGTATTACTTCAGGCGCAACGTGGACTAATAAATGCGTCTTTTAATATTAGCCTAGGAAATCTTGTCAAAAAAATAAACACAATGGTTTGAGTACAAGCAAGCGATATTTACATTGAGCTGAAAACTATTGTGAAACGGCAAAAATTTTAATTATTTTTCTGTTCTGATTTGCGCGATGAAAACCTTGTGATAAAAAACTAATTTCTTCACAGGCGAAAAAGCCAAAATTGTGAATAAGTTCTCGTAGTATTGATAGCAGCATCTCGTTTATGTGACAGTCTGTAGTCTGTTATTTATTTAATATCATCGAAACATCTATGAAATAACGTATTTAAAACGCATATAAAAATCTTGCCGGATTATTAATTAGTGTAGATGTAATATTCCTTAAACAAAGCGAGTAAACTTTGTATGCATATTACAGTTTAGTGACAGCCGCATTTAGTCCCAGGTTATGCGCATGGTAAACAGCAGGTCAAGGTTGACAGACCTAATGTGTACAATTCGCTATTTCTTTAATTCCTAAATAAGTGCGATTGCTCAGGACGATAACGTGATGATCATAGCATGAGTCACGGTATACAAGCGGTCGTCCAGGTCCGCGTGGAAAAAACCACGTTCCTTGCAATGTATGGATAGGGCATAATTATGCGATACTAACGTGCAATAACAGCACCAGCAGTGAATTCATGGTGGCAGCTAGTCACTTCGCGGTTGCTGCTATACAATCACAAATAAATGGTTTCATCAGAATCTATCATTGCAGTCTCTGCCCGCTAGTGGTCTCTTCAATCCAATTCTTTCAGCGGCAGTAAATTTTTTTCAACGTTTTCAAAATAGCACCTACCACGTAACAATCGCAATTATTTTTGGCCATTCAAATCTGTGAAACATGGCATCAGTACTCGATGGCTATCATAAAAAGACTAATGATCAGATATGCCGCATCTTATGAACATTGCAAGTTTCAGATCCAGTATTGCCTCTCAGGATTGCTTAAGACAACTGCTTCCAGGACAGAAACGAAATGTGTATGCTCGCGGCTTCAAATCTAAATTATTTTACATGTTCTCAAATAGTAGATATTTAGCGTCTGGCCTTTGAGATTAAATCGGCAATGGATTTAACAGCTGTTGCTTCCGTCAGATAAATGATTGGCACAAACAACCTGTTCATAAAACGCTTTTTTCAAGTTATATAATAATTAGAGTGTCAGTTTAACAGCGTCCTCCATCCTAAGATGCCACAAGAAAATGTTTTTTCCCTGGCTATACAATCGATAGAACTATTATTTACGGTTTTGCCTTAAGACTTTGATTCCGATAGCGTCTATGTCGAAAACCATAGTGTAAGATGACGTGTACTGTAAATAGTTGTTCGCCTCTGTAGATTTCTTAGTCAAAGCGCCTCTTAGATCGTTAGTCCAAATATAAACCCGGTTTTCACCTTCATCATAACCGAAATCCTAAAATAAAGCTTTGATCTACTGCTTCTACCTCTCCATCATTCACGTTATGGTTTTGTGTGAACTACCTTAACGCTTCATAGAATTTGCACCTTAAACCCAATTGCACCACCATCATCGTCGCGATTAGTTTAATTATCGTCCCGCGCGTTTCACCACATAGTCAGGGATCCATACAGTCTCGCGCCTTAATGCTTACCAGTCACTAGGTAATAATTCAAACCGCCGAACTAAGAATGATCCCCAGCCTCATTAAAATAATGAGCCAAATGCTTGTCTAATTTAGGTTACTGCTTAGTCTGCAGTCGATTGCTAAATCTATGGTTATTCAGCCTCTTTTAATTTTAACCTCATTTCAGAGCCGTGACTTACCAACCGTAACTATTAATAAAAGCTATAAATAAAAAATTCTTTGAATTTAGTACAGAGAGATTCACTCGAGTAAGTGGCACGTACATTTTTAAGATCTCTTCCCGTTGCAGCACAAATTGGAAAACTGTAGCACTTAACGCTAAAAATATTTGCTTTGTCCAATATTATATGTCAAACTTGGGTACAAGTCGTTCAACTAAAATGTAGTCTGACTGTACTGCTTTATCTAGTTACTTCAATCATCACATTGGTGTAATTCGCATAATGATCCTAGTATCTGCCTAAGGGAAACACGTTGTAAACTTTACCAGTCATACCCGCGCATATTTATTTAAAGAGCCGTGATGTTCAAGTTCGTCCGCTACCGTTTCATATTTTTGGCTAAATTTTGTCATTACAATAGCCTGAGTTTCCTATAAATTAATCAACAAAAAGAAATGAAGTATGTATACCTTCTATATATGCATTCTAGGCCCACGTTTGTCGATATTGTTGAGGATATTAGTTAAGCTGCAACTAGCACATTCAACTACCTTTAACTGGTGTGTAAATTATGGGATGTTACTTTTTGCGAAGAATGATGTTTTTACTTTGGATGGCTTTGTGATCATTTCTGCACTTTTTAGAAAAATCGGTCTAAAACATATAAGTCACAAATTATTTTAATTATTTGTGACCTTGATGTTTTAGTCCAATCAAATTCGATTTTCTCAGCAAACAACGATTGGTCCAATTATCAAATGAAATCTCTATGAATTGTTTATTTCTATTTCCGAGTGATTTAGTTATCTATATAAGAATGTTCAAACTCTTAAGAATACTCGGAAAAATCAATAAGGCGTATTCGAGACGATACACTATACCTGTGATATGGCATTTCACTCACCTTCATTTTACCACTGATCTAAATGCCTATAAGGAAACTTGTGATTTAGAATTAACGTTTTTTTTTTATTTGCTAATAGAGTAATCATAAAAATATATAAAATATTAATTATTTGCTATGGTGTATTTATTTGTACGTTTACAGTAGAGGATACTCAAACTGTACCTTACTTCTCTGGAATATTTTTTACCAGCTTCGATAGTAGAAAGTATTCTTTTAATAAAATAGCGAACATTATGCCTTACTAAAGAAACCAAAAAGATTTCCTTTACTTTACTGAAAAATATAGAGGTGCTCCACCTGAAATAAAATTATTTTGGGATGTGGTCAACAGGTGATTTACAAAATTTCGCTGCTCTTGCGCTTTACATAAGGCTTGCAGTTCTTATTAATGGAAAAGATAATGGTTTTAGCAGTAGTATGGAAGAGGATATCGAAAAAAGATATATTCTTTGTTGTACACCTGTGGATTTATATTTCAGAAGTTCTAAACCATTATCCACTTAACGTTGTGCCTCCATTTAGCAGAGGCTTCAAAAACAATATGCTATCATCGACCTTTCAATATCTTATTTATTTAGCATTATAGCCCATATATAAAAAATTAAGACATTTAATGAGGATCATAGTATGTTTGTGACTAAAGTTACTAAAGTAAACTAACAGGTGAAAAGCAAAATTTACTTTTAAAGATTGTACACACAATTCTATAGACAACACGTTTTTCACCATCTAATATTCATTTAACAAGGAACACAGGTTTAACAAGAAAAAAGGCTATGATCACAAAAAAGCAGAAAAATTCACATAAAAAATAAGTGGCCTGTTGGTGTAATATCATAACACATGGCGTAGAGTATGACGGTATATTTCAATTAATTGGGAAAAACAATGGGAAAATGCTTTAATAAATAAGCTTAAATGATAATAAAGCAGAGCGCCTCTCCGATGGAGTTCAAAAAAATATCCGCAGCGTTGAAAGTATTCTAGCGAAAGCTACTGCAAGACACGCAGTAATCAATGGTTTTTTTTGCTTGATCTACAAACCGCAATACCCACCGCTAATCTGTAATACAGTTTGTAATCCTTTGTTGAGAATTACAGCGTGTTATAATATTATTGAATAGATTTTTAATAACCAAACTACATAAGATTTTTCTCATTAAATGTGGAGTCGACCACTGATAGACTTTCACACCTAAATTTCTTTTTCAATACAAAAGGACCTTTTGCTAAATCCGACTGCACTATTATTGCTATATTCTAACTGCAGCTGAATAAGTACTCGTAATATTCTATCTTTGTCAGATTGTTTATTCTGTATCGCGTCAGCATGTATTGTGTATGAGATAAGTTAAAAATAATCAAAAAGATAGGATGAAGGTATCGCCGCCGACTTTTTACAAACCCAACTCGATTCCACTGAATCCGTACTAACTTGTCTTGGTAACCACGTACAATACTAATAAAAAAAATCACGAGAAAAAAGGAAAAATATATATGTATATTTCAAAATTGGCGGTCGTTCAATTATTATTATACGTATAATTTATACGTACAGTTAAGTTTTATATAACTATATGTATATATAATTTTCACAAGTCACCTTCAGTGCGCAGTGCCCATCTTGCATATTATATATTTGTATACAACCGTACAATACGAATTTAAGCTAATACCTCCAAGATCATTGGAGACCTTCGGGATCATACAAAAAAACGCAGTCCCTAATATACGTATGCCTATCAGAAAAAATATGACAAACTATTGTGAGCAACTGCATGTACGTCCAATATAATTTCGAGAATCAAACAAAACAGTTTGCGTACCAGGTATAGGTCGAAAGAAACTGGTAGTTTTTCTGCAAAGGCAGAAACCGCTTCTTTATGAATAGACTCAATCTTACCATAAAAAAGTTAACCGTCTTTTACAGGCGATGCTACCATAAAGGAAATCCCTTTATTCCTGGTTACCTGCAGCTGTACTAGTAGTAACTGGCGGCTGTGTAGACGATTCCGGAGCTCTAGAAGCAGCTAATTGTCCTTGGGGCTGTGGTTGCTGTTGCTGCTGTGGCGGCTGCTGCTGCTGGTGTTGTTGCAATGGTGGAGTGTTACTCAAAGATGCTCCGACAGGATTACTTTGTTGACCCTGAATAGGCCCAGGAGAACCTCCCCCACTGGCGCTCAACAACACACCACTGCCTGTAGCGGGGGCTGGACTGCTACCATTAGAACCGCTACCCGTGCCACTCCCGGAAGAGGGACCGGACACGGTATTAGGCCTAACATTTCCTCCTCCATTACCAGATGCAGCGTTTCCTCCCCCAGGAGCGTTGTTCTGGTTTTGTTGAGCCATCATCATGGCGTGGGCTTGCTGACGGGCCCGGAACTCCGCAGCTCGCAGTTGTTCAAGATGGAACTGCTGACGCTCTTGTATAAGTTGCTGTCGTTGATATTCTAAAGTTTCTCGTTCCTTGTCCATGATCGCCTCAAGTTCTTCAAAGTGACGCAGCTTAATCTCTAATTTTTTCATCTGGGTTTCAACAAGCAGCGCTACTAGCGACTTGATCTTTCGTTCCTCAACAGCTGCTAGATGTTTTGCTTTTACAGCAGCTGCGCCCAGAGCAGCGGCGGCAGCTGCAGAAAGTTGAGCATCAGCCTAGAAAGAGTAGCAAGGGAAAGTCTGGTTATATATTCATTATGTGGACGCCAAATTTGAGCAGTAAGCATAAATACACACTCAGATTTCCTATAGCTCTTTAGGTTAACATCGCACCAGGTAAGCCCAAAGACTTCGGTTGCAAAAAGGAATATTTTGAAGGCCAAAATAATAAATGTCCCCTCGGCGGTTATTTTCTGATATAGTTCATTTACTAACATTTAAAAAATTAATTACTGTGCCATGTGCCTAATTGCAAATTCGCGCAAGACCATACCTTAAGCTTCTCCTTGTGAGCTTTCTTGCGTTCATCATCGTTGTCGTGTGTGTCTTCTTTATCGTTTGCGTCCTCGGCATTGTGATTTTCTTTCCGTTCGGATGTATCCATTGGCTCCTCATCTTTACTGTTGGGTTCCTTCGCGGCTTCTTTCTCTGTACCAGCAATACCGCTACGATCGAGCTCTCCGTCGACTACAGGCTCTTTGTTCTCCGTCACGGCCTTATCAATCACGTTGGTCAGATGTTGCTCTACAAGAGATGAAGGCACCTACGCCAGGTACACAGGCCATAAAAAATTGAGTGCAAATCACATATATTATCTTTGAGAATGATACTCACAAAAGACCTTACCATCGCAGTGACTCGCTTCAGCAAACGAGAAATATGATGAAAGACAATACTTGTAGATCCATAGAGAAATCAATTACCTCATCTTTGATTTTGGCGAATTCTTCCATTGCCGCTTTGGCCGCCGAACTAGCGACGCGTGGATCAACGACAGATGCCAAGAAAGCCACCGTTGACATAATGGGGTTTCCGGCCTAGAAGTATTCCACAGCAGCCATTTAATGCTAGGATTTTATTCGCTCATTTCGAGGCCCGTTTTCAAATAAGGAAGTCAATTACCAGTAACGCCAACCCCAAACGATTCTTAGATCTTTAACAGTATGTTAATGGTTTAGACTTTTGCAATCTTATGACCTGTGTATGTTCTGCATTCAACAATCAAATATTTAAATTTTTAGTTCAGTTTAGTTAAACAAAGCATACGTAAAATCTCGACAACCTATACAGTATACATTATTAATTAGAGTCCAAATGGTACTGTGCATTATGCGTAACCATACAAAAAGCTTATAAATAAGAAGTATTGTGCACATTATTACGGCTTGCTCCAGTTCTAACGTATTAAATGAAACAGTATAATGCAATTAATTTAATTAGAGAGGCCTAAATAAGCAAAACTAGTTTGTTACACACAAAAATTTCCTTTGGGCTGATTGAATTTGGAAACTCGACATAAATGACATGACCTCCTATACGTTTAGTAGATGACGCTCACCTTAGAAAAGGGTATTGGTTGGTAGGCGAGGGGACCAAGAGCACCACCGTCGTCCCCTTCCAGATAGGGGTCCTCTATAGGAAGTCTTAGGAACTGCAGTATGCACTCATCTTGCGTACGACTGCCCACATGCTCACAAACCTAACAGTTGCAATAATAATAATTACAAAACATGATAGCATCTACTCGGACCGCTCACGTGCATTTCTGCGTGTATGAGTATGTACGTGTGCTAATATATTTTAGTGTCCATAATACAAAAAATAAACTCGTCGTGCCAATGTTATCAGTCTAATCAAAGAGAAAGTTAACTCAATATAATCGTTTCATGGCTTGACAAAAGACATTTGTTTCATATCGCACCTTTTTTAGAAGCTCTAAAAAATCTAAAAGTAATGCTGGTTCCTAATTAGCAATTTATTAAAAGCTGTGTACACTATTTTCCTATTCCTTAAGGACGATATTATTGAATATATCATTGTGAAATATGCAATGGAAAATTCTTTGTAGTCAAATTTACCTTATTCCAGTCATCTTTATACATTTCTAATCCTTCAAGAAGTAGCAATGTTTCCTGTTCCGTCCAATCTCTATTGGTCTTCTGTTTAGCGAGTGCGGCCTTTTTGGCTGCGTTCGAATACTGATCACTTTTCAGGGCGAGCATATCCCCAATAGTCTGGACTCCAGTACCGGCACCAGCTTCTGTTTTTGTGGCTACTGGACTGTTCTCTTTATTATCCTTGTCCTTCGCGTCCTTATCGCTGACTGATGCAACTGCTGCCTTGCTGCCATCCTTGCTGCCGCCCGAGGTGGAGTCATTTGAATTATCGTTTTTAATAGCTTCCAGATTAACCATTAGAGAAGTAGATGAATTGCTGCCGCTACCTGCGCCGCCATTTCCACTGGCAGTTGCACTCGCCCCAGTCGCACTTGAACCAAACGTGGCCGCGCTTTGAGGCTGATTAACGCGTGGTGGGTTTAATGTCTGAAGCCCGGATGGCGTATCAACAAGTACATGGAAATGCGCTGTTGACGGTGGCCCCATCGGGGTGGGTCGAGAATCCGCATCTACTTGGTAGTTAATTAGTCCCCATTGCTCGAGAAATGCGTGAACTCGAAGTACAGCGCACACGTCTCCTGCTAAGTTTCGTCGGCACGCTGTTACTGTCAAATATTCCGTAGGATTTAAGCGGTACGTGTCGATCATGAAATTTCTGAAAGTGATGGTAAAGAACGTGGACTTTTTATAATAAAATAAACTGTTGATCACGCTAACCTTTTGAACGTTTCATCTTGCATGGCTAACGTCGTTGAATTGACATGATCCTGTCAATCCCAACAAGTTCCAAAATGTACATTCTGCGTCTGAACTTCAGATTCAAATGAATTACCGTGTCTTCAAGATTTATATATGTTTGTAGATTGTGAGTTTGACACGAATTAGCCTGTTGCTTTAGTGGTCTTCTGACTGTGGACACCATTGTGTTTACATAAAAATATTTCTTAGTTCACTGTTTTCAACAATTATTAACAAAAATTGGTTTCACCAATAAGTGGACAGTTCCAGTAAATACTAAACGAAATACGCAACAGTTAGGGTCAAATTTGCAGCAATTGGCGTAAATTTTAAATAGGTACTTCAATGGCGGTCTAATGTAATGCTTAATGGTGGTTCCAGACAAAGCTCGAAGCATTTACGTGAGTCCATTGGCTAATACCGTTCTATTCACATGATCACGTTTTTCCATACTGTGAAAATGCACGCTATAGCTCTCAACAATAGTTGGAACAGAGCATATTTGAAGGTGCGAAATTTCAAGGCTCAACTATTGGCCAGCCTTATTAACACGAAGTTAAGTAGTATTGCTATACTTACGAAGACTCATTTCAGTAACCTACAAACAAAATAAACTGTCAATACGGCTCACTCAGCATCATTTTTATTCGTGAAACTATTTCAGTCAAGTGGTCTTGGTACTTTTTAGCAGGGTGCGTGTGTCTACGTTGTATTAAAACGGTTTCTTGGAGAACCAGGACAGAGACCAGACGGCGCAAAATTAGGCAGCGCAAGGGTAGTTTGGCTGACGATAATGCAATGATTAATCGAAACCGCCTTATTACAACTTAACTAATGAATAATCACAGCATTACTTACGTTTAAACGAAATATTATATCCTTTTTTTAATACTTGTTATCAACTATCATACAAAGGGAAGGTTTGCCAAAGTTTGGCAAACTCAGCTTAAAACGCCGTTAAGGTCTGCTAGTACTTCTAAAGCCAAGAAAACGAATGAGATCGATTATTTACTCTGTATAAAAAAAAAAAAGTCGATTTTCTTAGTTATAGCCTAAGTGGGCTTAGTACAGCTAGCTTTAGAAGAAAACGGCCACCTCAAGTGGCTTACCTGTATGCCATAAATATTTCGGGGGTTTTTGAACGATTTTTGCCGTTAAAGAATTCTGGCAGGGCCCTACGTTCAATTGCGTGAATAGCTGTGTAATCGAACCATGCTGTATAAGAGGGCACTATAATATGGTTTGCTTGCTCTGTTGCTATATCCTCCGGCATGACCTGAAAAAAGATTGACGTAAATGAAATCATAAGAAAATAATGACAACGATTACAGATACCCAAGTTCGCTAACGTAAACATTGGCGCGCTAAAATAGTGCCGGAAAATTTACATTTCCGGGAGCATATCCTAAGAGCACTTCTAAACAGATGCAATAACCTATATATTGCGGTTCAGCTGATCCTGTGTTCTCCGTTCCTTTGTACTGTTCTTTTCCGGTTTAGCAAATACATCGATGCCATTTATTCATCGTGATTAACCCATTATTTTGTAGCATGATGTAATAACCGCATATGCGGTAGATACCACTAGCTGCATGTCTCGTGAATGTACGTTAAAAATTGTATAAGGATAACCAATTCACATACATATCCTAATCCGCAATATACAATTGCTTTGAAGGAGTCAATTGGAAACATACTTTTTTCTCCGGTACCAGTTCTGCAAGGTTTAGGCTTTTGGGCGGTAGCCCACCGTCCTCGACTTTCTCAAGAGCAGGTTCAGGAGACGGATCTTCCATATCCTTGGTAAGGTCATCTTTTCTTCCACCCTTGCTTTTTCGAGATTTTTTGCTTCCAAGCGGCGACGGACTGCGACCGCGCTTTTTACCGGCTGCCGACTTTTTTCTTTTACCACACAATAATTCATCAATTGTGCACCTAGAATTAGATATTTATCATATTTTTATCGTCTGGTTAAACTTCACATAATTAGCTTCTTCCGAAAACTAAGGTTTTTTGTAATTGTACATTTTGTACTCTCACTACAAACTCGTCTTAACAAAATTTTCAATTAGCGTCTTCCCTCCGCACACGCACGCTACTCAACCAATTTGCGATCTCGCAATCATTTATTTCGCAACCTGCAAGTAAATCTAAAACTTCGATGAAATATCTCGGCGATTGCCAAAAAAATCATACCTTTCTTCAAACATTATTGGAGAATTCTTCCTCTACATGCTTCAATTTTTTCCATTTCTTTTTACCTTTCACTTGCTCATACTAGCACATCCCGAGAATCTGCCTAGCATATAGTGTTCAAAGTTGTTCATATATATTTACTATCAAAGACTATACAATCTTTATCTACACAACTTATAATAAGCATGCTTTATGATAAAACGCTTTCCAGCTTTAGGATCTTCAAATGCATATCACGTAGATTTGACCTTTTAAAAAAGCAGTACAACATAGACTAAATACTTTGTTTTTTTTTATTTATTAAAAAAATAGTTTGTATATACAACACAATATGTGTATTTTATAATATCGCATTTTTAAATATCTATATTGCATTACATAAAGATTTCCCTTAGAACTCGAATAGAGGATTTGATCAATAAAGGGCTCTTAATGTGCCCATAGATATTAGATAAAAACAATTAACAATGTAAATTTATAGACAATGCGTTATCTAAATGTTTACGTACAGCGTTTTATAAAATTAACGTAATAATGATAACAGTAATATCTGTATATGCAATTATATGTGTTATAAAAAAAAAAGACTTTTTACCTGCGTCTGTTCTCTTGGTCAATATCATAATCTTCTGGGTTCATCCATTCATTGTATATTTCCGAATCGAGAAGCCATTGCGTCGTTACCTGCATTTTCAAATGTATAAAAACGGTTATAGTCAATCACTGGTAAATGGGGTCCAAAAGAGACGTAACCTATTGCTTCGTTTATAAATCTGGCATTACAAGACTACAATCATTATTATGTGATCTTCAGATTTCTTATTGAAACTTCATGCTCCACAAACGTGGAGTCCTCCACTTTTTTGGCGCTGCTTTTTTTTCGAAACCTGCTTAATCCCATTGGATGTCGGTATATTTATACCGGATCATTATATTTGAAATTTTAAAAAAACCGTACCTTCGTTGCAAACCCGTTTTACTAAACAATAGCATGATAATTTCCCACTATTTTTTTCGCTACTGAAACTGAATTCTGTTGTTGATTTGTTTCATGGTTTGTACTGTGTAATATGTATATATATGTAATGTCTGCATAGCAAAAGAAGTCGTAGACAAAAGGTCTCAAATAGAAGCCCCGCCGTAGAACTACTCAGAAGCACGCACTCTTTATATGTTCCCACTGTGTTTAGCCGAAATGCTATCACAGAACTGCTGTAGAAAATTTATATAAGCTAATTTTTAGGTTCTCTTGTGATCGTTGGACAATCGTCGATAATAACTAGCTGATAATCCACGGAAAGCTGGCCTGCCTTTAAGATCGCCCTTCAGCATATCTGAAATATTGGAGAAAGTGGGAGTAGGAAGGAGTGTAAAAAGCGAATAAAATGAAAAAAATAGAACATGAAAAGCGGGTAATCGCAATGCAAAAATACGGAGATTCTGCCCAGATCTACTACCTATTTACTAACTATCATTTGAACAACTTTTGAAAGCATGAAATATGTAAGAACTGCGGGAATTTTAGTTTAGTCATGTCAGGTAATCATTAAAGTAGTATGTGAATGGAGTTCATGCGTTTTTCGATTAACAAGAGCTTATCACACCGACGGGACGGTGTGATTTGCGTGGCTAATGCGCACTTCTGAGTGCAATACCATGGTAACCGTAGCTAATAAGTATGTTGCAACGTTAAATTAAGTCTTTGGCAAAAATTATTACCAAAAATTAATTATCCGGATAATGAAAAACGTAAGGAAAATAGGGGATCAAAATTAAAATTAATAGCTGCTTGTATGGTTGTGGTGCCGTTTTGTAAGTCTGTTGTAACCCCAGATAATTAAGCAACTACCAACCCGGTTGGACTCTTAGCCGGGCGGATCTTTTACTTTATGTTCAAAAAAAAACAGGCGATTTCCAAAGTTTATTTACACTGAAAAAAAAATTAAAAGACTAGTAGCCACTAACTATCAATACGCGCCTGTCATTTTAAGATGCGGTTTATACATACAATTTTAAAATTTCGGGTACTTGGCTAGGTTGCGCAACGGTGCCCTGTTACATAACTTTGGTTTTTTTGGTCCGGTTAAGCTTGTAATTTCCGACCATACATTCTCGCTTCGGTTCGTCTTTATCCTCTGAAAAAGTTTCATCCGAATGACACTTAGGAACACTTTTTGCAAACCCAGATGCGTGCTGTAAGCCTTTGCGGAGCTCTTAGAAGACTACGAATTTCACTAAATAACATACTAAATTTCTAGGAACAGGCATACTATTGCGAATCACGTTTTATACCACATGAGGCTGCTGCATATTAGACACGCTAATGTCGGAACCTAATCGAACACAGTCTCCTCTCTTTTGGTAGAAAAATTTCCAGTGATAACGCTACGCGCATGCGCCAACTTTACTCTAAGCATACTCATGATAACTGTCGATGCGGTATGAATTGGATAAATATAGCAGTTATACTCTCGGTATGCCTTAGAGCCCAAGAGGGCTTGAGGTCCACTAAACACCCACAGATCAATGAGACATTTGCTAAAGCCCTCTGATCAGCTGGATTTCCTCTATGAAAGAACCACTTGGTTCGCATGGATTCGATGGACGTAAACCAGACCATTTTACAGACCTTATTACAGAAAAAATGAGTTGGTACGGGATGCCACCATCTCCGACATTCTAAACTACCTTCTCGTACGTCGACAGCAGCGTTACAGTATCCGGCTATTTTGTAAAATGAAATAAGTTGCGAAGTAAAGCGAACCCTAGGTCCACCTAATACACCTAAAGATAAGTCATTTTGTACTTGAAGTGAAGACAAACCTGTCGTTTTGTTATTGCAGCAGTATTGTTTTTTGAGAAATGTAATGCCGTAAATGAAAATAAAAATACAATAGAAGCCTAACGGGTTCATCGAGAGGAAAATTACGAGGAACTGCGGGAGACCAATGGACACCCACAGGCTTTAATTTTACACATTATACATATGCGTATGAACTTGATCTCTCTCTATATTTATTAGGTTAGTCATCAAGCTTTCGTTGATTGCTTAACTTTTCCAACTGGTTTGCTGATGCTTAAATATAATAATTGTTTTTTTTGAATGATAAAACATTATCTTGAGCTCGAGATGCACAGATACATTGCACAAACAGCACCTGTAACTTCGCGTTCGCCATTCTTTGAGGTTAAACACTTAAAAAATCAGGATGTGCTACATACTGCAAGAATTTAGGTAATCCATAAATGCTTTCAGTATTCAATAGTGGCATGTTAGAGATAACAACGTGCTTCGCTCGAAATTCCAAGCGGGACAAGGACCGTTTCAAACCACTTTTTAAGTGTAATAACTGTTAGATCAACTGGCATCTCCTAGCTGAAGTTTTTTTACTGAAAGCCCTAAGAAAGAAGACGGAAGCATTAAAGTTTAAAACAGTGGGGCTATCAACTCCGCCTTTCGGTTGAAAGGAAACTATGGCTTACCGTAGACACTCTCACGTATCTGCAAATGACTTTCAATTCAAACGATTTATTTTATCTAGCATAGACTAAAGAACTTACATAGCTTCAGTGCACTTACTGTACAACGAGAATATGCAGGACCCTTTAATATACATGACTCATGAATAAAAAATTTAAAGTATAAGCTTTGCTTGAAATGTTCATGCGCACCAGATTTTTGTACACGGAACAGAAGGATGCAAAACTAACCTTAGTATTGAGATTTACTACAGTCACTTCTGAGAGTAACATTCTATATATCATGCATAGATTAAAAAAATGAATAAACATGGAACTGGCAGAAAAATATTACCTCATAAGTCTGACCTTCGGCGGGTCTTGGAGACAGTTCCATGGATTCTGCCTCAACCTCGGTCCAACAGTCGTATGAGTCGGGAGTCTGACAAAAATGAACTAGAACCTGTACCCAAATTTGATATGAAAAACGAAAAGGCATATGTTATATATATATATATATATCTCATATGACAGATCTTTATAGGGGCCTTAACAACAACGCTAATCAAGGAAGTTAATTTGGATTAGATCATTAATCACTAACTCTTAGAAAAATTAACTTGTTATTTGGTGAAGCAAAGACGATCGTTCCAGTAGTAACTAGTAGTAAGATCAAGTAATCACTATTATCAATGTAAAATACTTTTTGATAGTAGTTACTCAGATCTCGACTGTAGTTTCACTTGCTGCAGATTATTGGGTAAACTTTTAGGTGTGAAAGACCTTACAAACCTGGTTATCCTTTCTCTGAGCGGCCCGTACCCAGGTCTCGGATGCGTCTTCCGGCTGAGTTGCTGGACCACGAACAATGTGTGTCGCATCGTCCTCAGAACTTGTCAACTCACCACCCAGTTTTCGGACAATTTCCTTTAGTTTGGCATCCTATGAGGATGTATACCAGCGCATTCGGTACAATAATAAAAAACACTGTGTTATGTTGTCTAAGTGGATGGTTTACAATGCCAGACTACATACACCCTCAGCTACCCCGCAAAAATTAAGAGAACATGGACGGGAATTTTAATTATCCGTCGCATATCCCGGATCTTACATCGCCAGACTGCCATCTGTTTTGGTCTTTTCAGAATGAGTTTAATAGTATTCATTCAGTTTCAATCACTTGTCGCAATTTTTGACCCATAAACCATAAAAGTTCTATAGTAATGTAACTAGGAGAAGTGGTAGTATAGTCCAATGACGAAACCGAAAATTCGTTTAAAGGAGTGTAATTTTTACTTTACGGAAATTAACAAGACCAATCTTATAACTTACGTAATTAATAAATGTTAGCTACTAATCCGTTAGTGCCAATTAAAAGCCTGTAATATGATGGGAAACCTACATGTCTTACGGAAGTCGAACCTATATCGTTGTATACACCGTGAGAAGAAACCTTGCTACCAAGGCTATTAGTGTTCATTATTAAACAGCCAACTTGAATTTCGGGGAGGTATATATGACCGTAGTACAATAAACATTTTAATCTTTAACAATAATGTTTAAGGGGGATGTTTGCTTTAAAAATAAAAACGGCTATCTTTCTGCATCGCATTCTCAATGTCAAACCTGCACAAATACGGTCGGCCTATCAAGTAGTCTCTGTGATTCCAGTGTTCTGTCAGCCATATGGAAGAATTCTATGTTCTTCTCGTGACGATTTGTAGATCCAAAATCGAATCGACGCCATCCCTGCTCGGCTTTGAATTTATATGCAGCAGCTAACAGATGACAAAGAGCTCCACCAGATTTCAGATCCAGGAACACACGCACAGGAAGACGAGCTAGAGGCCTGGGCTTAGCTGAGTTTTTTCCAAGGGCATCTTCCTGAAATACAATAATAGAATAAGATACAGCATAAAGTAAATTGTTTTAGGTACGATAGCTATCGAGAGAGGTTGTTGCATAACCCAACTATGGTATTATTCTCATTACAGGGATATTCTGGATAACACACAGTATGTATATCATGTAATGCAAAATGTATTCAATAGTATTTTCAGTTTCATGACCTTTTGCCTAACGTACAAAGGATTCATATATTTTTTTCATATGTTCAAACGTGTTATACGGCTCTAGTACAGTGTCCATATTTAAATGGTAAAAGCACCTTCGGTGCTTTTCTGCTAAACAGACCGTTTATGCATCTCTAACGGTAGAACTGTCACCCTTTTGGAGCAGTATGGCTATACTTTATTGATCTTACTTCCTCAAATGTCGACAGGCGTGTTTTAGCATGCTGACTGAGGTTTTGCAGAGTTGTATAATAAACGCTAGTCTGAAGGAGCCAAATTTGGCAAATAGGCCAAGAAAGGTGGGCTAGCCTAAACTGGAGATGATTTTGTTCGCTCTCAAGGCAGTCTGGGACGACAGTCGTTATATAGTGAATTCTGTTGACAGCTTTGTTGACCGACCAAAATCATTTTCTCTATTCAGCTGTTTAATTTAACTCATAAATAGTCAACGCGCTATGCGCCAAGTGTTTGAATCTTATCATTCAATATTCCGCGTCAACATTAGACAAAAAACAGAAAAAAAAAGGAAAAACCGAAAAAGAAGAAGAGACAAACATGCTTTTCTAGACATAGTAAATTACTCTTAGAAATTGCAATACTAAATTATTATTCAATGTGGAGTTAATACATTCATCTGCCCCAATAATATGAATTTGCATGTGAAAAAGGCAAACAAAGTACATATTAGGTGACGCTCTTCGAACTTCAATTGGATGTCTACCTTGCTGCTACCTAGTAGGAATAAGAATCAGATATCGTAAGGCAACTTTGAAGCGAGGATCAAATTTTAGTTCGCTATCTTCCACGAATCGCAAGTACCAGAAATACGTAAATTAAATTTACAATTTATATATGAAAGACTAGTGCAAATGCGTAGATCTCGGTAGTGTCAATATGCATCCGTTTCCGTTAATAAATTGGAATCTTGATTGCCATATGTATCATACATAATTAATTAATTACAAGTGATAGAACACTAGAACTTCTACAAGTTAAGAAGGGCCGTTTCGAGAATCAGTTTAACAATCTTTCATATGAAGGCTTATTTTTATTTTAATTAGTCACGTCTCGTTGTTTATTTAAGAAAGCATGTGATGTATATCTTGTTTTTCTACAATTGATACATGAATGCGGTGAAGATTAAGACGAGCAATTTTATTCCACCAGTATTTTTATCTAGCTTTAGTAAATACAAGAACATACTTAGCCAGCGTTACGTCGTGTGCACTTTTGCAATTAAAACTGTTAAAGAAATGTGTTTGGCACTAATTTATACCGCCCGCAGCCTGAGGTTCGAATCAATACACATTCACATATACTCTTTAAGGCACAATAAATTAATCAACATCATATTTCAGTATAATAAAAATAAGAATGTACTAACATCGGCCAGAATCGAAAGTAACATTACTAAATTGGTATCTGACATTATTGAAAGCGATGGTGTGTATGGATATATATGTCAATAATCTTTTACCTGAAACTGCCACATTTGCACGGTGAGTTGGGCGAGACTCTTAGCTGTCGGTGGCTCTGCTTGAGTATATTTTTTACATTGTTTTACCAGCCATTGTTTCACTGCTTCGAATTGTTGAACAGTGTCAGCAGACTCAAAAAACTTGACATTAGGTCCTCCATCCTTACGTGCCTGGAACGACATCCTGCCGGCAGGCACTTTGTGGATGGCTTATGATTGACAATTATTGACAATTGCAAGACGACACAGTTAACAGTGAAAAAAACGCCAAATCGTAACAAACTCAGAAGCACGGATGTTTCTCCTTTCTAGCAACAATCAGTATTTTACCTAACCACAAGCCAAGCTGCAATCCATGCAGCCTTCGCTGCCGCTTCACAACAAATCGACAGACCGGTGTGAACCATAAGCGTTATTTCGAAAAAAAAGTACCTAATTTCGAAACATAAGATGGCGACAGCTTAAGTGCAACGCGCAGGACATTCTATTCTGTGTAAAGCATAGATCTGTTTTTAAAATAGTTATCAAATTGTATCTTATTTACTTGTATTACTACGGTTTCATGAATATTCAACTGATAAACCAATATTTGACTTGATCTCTTAATTCTTAGAGGTATTTGTAATAGTTGCCATCATGTCCATTCTTAAGCTTCTGAGCGAAACAAAGCACATTCTGTAGCACCAATCTCACGGCATCATACTCATCCGAACAGTAGAGATGGCCTGAATTCTCGTTTGCAGTTCACTTAAATATTACACAGAGGTTGTCACGATATCATGTAATTTTCGAAGGACACAGTGGAGTGTTCGACTGTAATGAACCAAGTATTAGCATGATGATAATATCACCAAGAAGCTGACAAAAAATAACAGTGTACATACTATATGCATAAAGCGCGGGCGAACTGAACGTCTTTATGATGGTTCAGTGGCACCGTATTTGCCTACTAAACCCAGGGGTACACGAAATAATCTAGGTTCTAAACCGTGCGTGGTGATAATCATGTTTGTTGCGTACTAAAAAGATCCTGTAGTTAATAATAGTATCCGGTACTAATTAATAATAGTAATATTAATAGTCAATAATAGTACGTAATAGGATTAAAAAACTGGAACTATTTGTTAGGTCCAAATCAGACAACAATACGTGTCGTGTGGTGTGATTACGTCCCTTCATGTTGCTTTATCACATATAGCCATCTTTCAGCTAAGTACTCGTTTTTCATCGACATTTGAACTCATGGCTTTTGTGTTTCAGTCAGAAGACCGACAAACCACGAGATGGACAGACGGTACAGATTCAACCCCACATAAATTTTTCATAACCTATCCTATTTAAAGGTCATAATTTTTAGTATAAAATATTATTACTTTCCTTTCTATAAACGAGACATTTTTCGATTAATATAACGTTTTGGTGTTTGTGGCTAATGTTTAACTGTACGTTTTTCAAGGTCTGTTTACCGAAGCTTCTCTAAAAACGGAAATCGAGAATTTCTAACAGCTGACTAATCGGCCATTACTGGCACGCTAAATTGCCAGCTTCAAATTATTTCCTAGAAATATTAGGAGTATTTTAAAACGACAAATATTTTGAATTGTTTTCGGGTTTTATGGAATTTTAAGATGTCTGGCTTTACGATTTCAAAATAGCGTAACAGCAATTGTAGCATAATTTACTGGCATGTAAATTAAAACGCAAAATGTTTTCAATACAAGCTTTTTTTAGAATAGATTTTTATAACTCGAAATAAACGTAGTAATAGGCGCAGCTTTCGGTATGTTATTGTCTATTAGTTGAATAAAAGAGGAAGTTGAATAAGAGAGGTTGTAATGAACGTTTCATGCTGTATCTTTAGTGATTATAATATATATATATATATATATATATACTGAAATTGTATTATCCATGGTAAGCAAATAAAATGATTGATTGATATACTTTAGCACTAATGCAACAAGAAAAACGCGGAAGTTTCATTTAAGTCAATTTTTAAAGCCATTAAGAGACTTATTAAAAATTTATTAGCCGGCAGTTTGTTCTTAGTTTTCCGTACTTAAGTAAAAAGTTAAAACTACTATGAAATTAATTTTATTTACCAAAGTGACACTCAGCAGCCAACAGTCAATATTTATCCATGAATAGTCGACTTGTTATATTCTGTAGAAGTGTCAAATATACAGATTTACAGTATTATCATTCGACAACAACTGCTGGCTTTCTGAACAAAGAAAAATGCCTTTATCGTGGAAGCGGTTTATATCCTAAAATCTATAGCTGGATTAGAACTTTGAGGTAATATTTTCCATTCCTAAAGCCTTTTTACATGAAACTTCGCTTTATAATCTTCCACGAGCCTTCGGAGCGCCTCCTGTTCTGAGAAGCCGCTTTCTAGCTTTAGAGCAAATAACCCTTTCGAATTACACAAAGCTAGGATCATATATGCCATGGCATATATATCTTCTCGAAGCTTTGGATTTAGGGACACCCTTACTGCGACGCGCAGGTATGACGCCATCAGAAACGTGCCTATTGTCTCAAAGGCTGGGGCGTTGCGGTGATCTTTACACTTTAGCCTATGAACAAAAAACAATACACTACAAGAACAACAAAGCAAAAAACATACAGCTTACAAAGTGTAAAATGCGGCAAGGGGCCCTACGTATCATAATTGATCATAATCATAATTATTATTACTAAGCTTACCAAATCTATAATAAGGTTAACTGGAAAAAGTTAGATAGTTGGATTGTAAGGTTGCCAAGTCAGCATTATGGGTAGATACTAATACCCAGTCGTCCCCTGGAATGCTACTGCTTAACACTAAAAATTACCGTTTTACTTTGTCGATAACATGCACAACCGCGGCAAGACTAACAGCATCCGCAGACGTGGCCCGATCTCCACGTTCTGCAGTGGCTTCGATCAGGCGTCCGAGAAGCCCTATAAGAACCTGTGCAACTCCAGACGATTGATGTCCTTTTGAGGATAGCCCACGACCCACCAGTTCCGTAATAGAGCTTAAAATTGCACACCACTCTTCCACTGTCCCAAACATGAAACATAGACATTGGGCTATGTTAAGCCTTGTGGTTTCCGGCAATTTCATACTACATCAAGAACAAGCGGATCTAACAACTAATAACACATAGTTCTATCCTGAGAATATCTTACTCTTAGGTTTTTTAGATGATTTGCATATCTGCTTGACTCGAAGTGAACAAAATTCCCGCAGACGGTCATACGCTGTTCATGAACAACTATATTTTGAGCTTGAAGCAACCGTATGGCACCAAATCACTAAAAACTTAGCTGTTATTTAAATATTTTTCGTTAGAGATACATATCGAAAATTTCTGTGGTTAACATGGGTTTGACTTTAACAATAGGTGGTTCCAGCAAAACGGTGTGACCTGCCATTGCACGTCCGAGACGCTGGAGTTACTGAAAAAAAAATTTGGTAAATGCAAAATTTTTCATCAAGCACCGAAACCATAGCTGCCCCGCCTAGTTATTTCCAATTAACGCCGCTAGACGTTTTTCTGTGTTTTTTTTTGCAAAAACAAAATTTACTGGACTATCCGATCGTAGAGTCAGCTTAAATTACAGTATTTGATAAACTTGAAATTTGACAATTGTCCTAATTATGTGAAATACTTGTCCAAAAATGTATGTTTTGTCTAGAGCCCGTAAAGAACTATCGAAGCGGTCGCCTGAGTGACATATAATATTCAAAACAATGTTAAGGACTGCCATTTGTAGTATGATCGTTAGTATGCAGTATCACTGAAAAATGGCTAATTATATTGAGCATTTTTAAGTACCTCTTTTTACGGTATATTGTAGAGGTCATTTCATTCCACCCCCGGAGGAGTCCACTGCCTTTAACATTTTCTTGGCTCTAATTTAATATCGAAGATAACAATATCACAGCACATTTGATGTCTCCGGCATCTAACCATGGAAACCATTTTTTGCAATCAGTAAATCGACAGAGAAATGACAATGATGTCTAGCAAAGTATTGGAAACCTTTTGATAACAACTATGACTCGACTGAAATTTTAGTGGCCTCTTAACAACTTTTGGTAAACGAAAATGGCTTGAACTTTTAGAACCCTTATAATTTTTTTTGTATCCTTACACAGAACGATAGGTGAACTGGCTTATAATATTTATTGTTTCTTCCTGTCAGATGTTGTAGAAGAGACTCGGTCCATTCATAAGCGGCAATAGTCTGCTATTAACCTCTCAGTAACTCCTAATCATAGTAATTACAGAAATCAATCGGAAATTTGGCATCAATTTTTGTTTCATAGAGACTTATCACCTACAGATGTTTACGTTAAAAGTGCCCAGGTAAGAGGAGTTTTGTTTATTACAAGATGAACAAAGTGATGCATTTAATTGAAAAGAAATTCACTCACACAACCTTCAGAATTTCTTACTCATTGCAATTTTTCTAACTCATTTGACTTCAGGTTTCTTCTTGAGTATAGAAATACTAAACAGTCTAACTATTATTGACATTATTAGAACGATCAGCGTATTTTATACAATGCTCCGGTCGCCCTTTAGACGTGCCTTCACATGATATAACTGCCTGGTCGCACTAAGAGGCCTGTAATTAGTCACTATTAATTAAAATATGCAATAGTATTTATCTTATCTATTATTACGCGTAATGAAATCACAACCATGATTTTGTATTAAAAAAGGCTAAGAATATCCAGTTATGTTTTTATGAGCGAGTCCATTTTAAGTATCTCGATCCGCATATATATACGCCATCGGGTGGTCTCTATATCAAATATTGATCCCTATTCGATCATGCCAAATCTCGATATTAAATCTTATTTTTTTGTTTTGTTTAACCTACAGATGTAAAGCTTTTACATGACCTGGAAGCGCATATAAACTACACTTTTTCAGCAATTTTCAGCTACGCTTACTTAAAGCTAAAAGCTCCAAATTTATAAAAAAAAATTACATTAGAAGTCACTAACAGACATGGGAACGCAATAGAAAATTGTTTTTTATTTTAGTAGAGAAAAGCATATATTGTCCTAAAGTAACTATAGGAAACTATTGGTAGACGAATAGGTAGACTAATACAAATAAAATAAACGATTAACATTATTTTAGCGCACACCTTGCCAGAGCCGTGGATACGACAAGAGCCTCATATCACAGCCCCATATCTATAAAAACATTTCAGCTTCAAGATGTTTCATGAATGGGAAAACAAGTTATTTACTTACCAGGTAAATCGTTCATTTTCTCTAAAGGTAGCCTGGCAATCGTTGAGTAAAGGAACGTTAACACTTCAGAAGAAGGCTTTCGGCGAGTTGCAGCATCCAGTACTGAGCAACATAAGTCAATACGAATGGATCGTATACATGACCCGCCTCGATTAATCATGAGTAATGAAACCTGTTTCAAAAATACATATAAATGATCGTTCGATGCATAAAAATTGGGAACCCAAGGCGTAAAAACACTGTATTGCTTCATATGCAGATATATGAAGTTTTGTGTAAAGTTAGGTTAGATTAGGTTAGGAATGTAATCAACTCTTAGGTAATGCAGGAAAAGCGAGAATAATAAGGTATCAGAGTTTCGCTCGTCATTGGACTAATTATCATTGTCGCTCACTTTGAATTTATTATTAAAACCAGTATTAGCTCTGTGTATTTCTCCTAACTCTGGAATAAAGAGAGGAAAGGGCAAAGGATGCGGAGCAATAACAACGAGTGAATATGATTCATAACAATAGGGGAGGCGGGAAATGAGAAATAGGAAAGCCCTTACATGGCATGCAAAGGTCGCATAGGTGTCTTTGAAACGTCTGGACGTTTTAACCCTTTATCCATGTTTGAGACATCAGGTTTGCATGACCTCATGATAGATTTTGTTTGTTTCATACGTGTTGTTAGCTAGCCGCCAAGAATATCTAACACCCAACTGAATCAAACTCAGAAGCACCAACACGCATTACTAACACTGATAAGTTGCACGAAGTGTGTTAGTCAAATTGAATTAACCTCTGGAACATTCAGTTCAAGTTGAAGAGCCTGAAATGGCTATTCTTAAGAACTATAAGGTAATACAATAAGATTGCGCTACAGACGACGCCAGGGCTCAGATGGAGGAGAAAAAAATATGAGCCGGACACGACAGGACTTATAAAATAGTATTTATCATAACTTTCAAACATGTTAGAAATGTTGAATACGGTTCATTTTCAGAACCAATCTTAACACGAACTCATCATATGAAAACTCAGTTTTCATGAATTTAGTATTTTTAGCATGATGAGGCTTTTTCGTATAGCTTAGGCCAATTAGATTAAAAAGATCAGGTTCAATGTTCAGATAACTGCTTTTGTATTGTATTAGCCGGCTGACTTTCAAAATAAAACAAACGTACTCACTGCACGTCTTACATGTCAAAAGACCAGTAGTTAGACACGTTACCACATGAGGCCATTACTGAAAAAGTGTATACGAATGAATGCTAGGCATTGACCATATCATGCAGCCCCTATATTCCGTATCTTTTTACCATCTGATCTATGCAAAGCCAGATTCTAATTATACCGGCGTAGTCACTTAGCTATTTCCGAAACGTGTGTTTTTACCTTGTACATAAAATGTACTTTTGATACATATTAATTCTTAATCTAATAAAAAGACACGAAATATAGTAAACTCCAATAGTTAGTCGGTGTAATAGTATTACTCCAGCCAACTATTTCACTATAATACTGCTGAGTGAACCATAGGCAAACGTTTTTCTGTTTCTGATTGTCAAAGTTGCCTTGCAACAGTTTGAATGAAAGCTTACACCCACATTTTCCAATCACTGGTAGATTAAATTCATCACTACACATTGTTAGTAAAGGATGTTTTAAGACTTAGGTGGTGCATTTCAAATAAAACTCTGCCTTTTTCAGGTAAAAAAACTGCCATTCTAGATGTTTCAACCTAACAATTATACATTATTTCTCTCAGGAAGTTCTAACCAGCTTTGAATGCCATATGTGCATATATTTTTAGTGAAATTGACATGAATAGAGTGTTTCAAACAATTGCTATTTGTGGCTTAAACAAAAGGCTATATGGCCCAAAATTTTTCACCAAAGTCGCTACAAAAATCTCCTAGGTTTTTTTTGAAGAATCTTGCTATGTATATGACCCTTCGTCGTGTAGTATGTGTCCTTTTGAAGTTTGAACATATCCAGGATGGCCCGAAAATCTCTAGATAGTGGGAAAGTCTTCATTTTGTTAAAGTGGCCGGACGTACGAATTAAACAAATTATTGCAGCAAGGGATGGATTTATCGCTGTAATACATATACATATATATATATATATATTTACTAATGGGGTACCACATTAGTATCCCTATACTCCCTACTATTGTAATTTTAGAGCTTTAACATGTGTTTATAATGCAATAGGTATAACGATGGCCACTCTAGTCATTCAAATCGTTTTATCCATAAATTTCAGAATACCGTATCATAAGCTTAGAATTGGCATTAGTAAACAGTTAATGCATATGTCAACATATGTATACCCATTTGACACAGTATACATATATATATAAATATACATACTGTTGCAAATTTCGTTAAGTTCAAAGCTCTGGAGAATCAGTGTCTATTGCTCTGCTAACGAACATGAGCTATTTTTCTTTAATGCCATCTAACCTTCACCTTAGTCTCCATATACAAATTTCAAATATACGTATTTCGTTGGTTCCCATAAAGTTAATACGTAATATAACTATTATAAATCAACATATAATTTCTTACCTTTTGAATGACGTCAAGGACGACATTTTCATTGCCATATTTTGTGACTGAGGTCAGCAGCAAGAGGCAACGGTTCAATATATCATCGCCACCTACAACTCCTAAAGGTGTTTCTAGACGGAAAGGGTTTCTATGGAACGTTACATCAGACGAATCGGTGACCACACTTTCCACAAATGATGAAATCTCCTGCAGATCATCCATCACTGATGAAAGCACAGGCCACAACTGCAATCATGATCAGTGCATCATTAGTGTTATTTCAAATTCATGATATACATGTTCATATATCCTTCGACTTGTTCCACGACTAGTTTTATTGTAAACATGTAAATGATGAGTTTAGGACTCTGGCGCGTAATATCGAAGAAGAACACTGGTATATATTCTGTTTCTGTAGTTCAACATGATCATCTTAAACAAATGCCAGCTAGTTTGTACGTTTGATTTTTTTATTTGTGCTTTTTTGATGGTTTTGAGCTCATTACGCTCCGAAATTTACTCGAGTAATCATAAACCACCGTGTTTTAAAGAATGTGATTAGTTGGGTGTGTCGATAGCCTGGGTTTCCTTCCAGCGTAAAGCGAGTAGAAAGGAGACTTAGAGACAAAGATATGTATATCTGGGAACTGTTTATAGAGCCGGAAAGAAGACCTGAACCAGACATGATACTTTGAGAAAAAATATTAATCGAAAGTCAATCTCTTAATCTGATTTACGCAGAAATCGGCGCAACCTGACAGTTTCAGAACCAGTTTCGTAATGAATAGAGTGATCGCTTTCATTCAAAAAGTGAAGGTCCCGTAAAATAAAGATTAAACACTATTCCATCCTGATATGTAAATTTAATGAATGAAAAAACAAGAAATGCTTTGTTATATTCTAATATTATTAGCTATCTATTATCTAATATATTTTGTTACTAGTCTCCGTAGTAATTCAATGGAAATATGTGTACTTTTTAAATTTAAAAACAGGTGACGTTTCTTTTTGACCTAGGGGTCTAAGTTTGAACGGGCCAGCCGTCTGAAGCAATGTTCAATGGCTGTATCAGAGGTAGAACCCGAAGCGATTATTATATCTTTTATTATAAAAATTGAGTTCGTAGAATAGTCGTCACTAGTGGTTATTAAAGCTGCGCTAATCTGAAAGTTCCTCCAGGGTCGATTCTAACTGCAGGTATAGGACAAACGTTTTGCCTGTACTTAGAAAAAAATGAGAACTGTCTTGAGACGTATATATTTTAGCCCGTTCTTCTCATCAATTTGCACTGATCGCAAGAATACGTATTTTTGGCCGCGCACTCTTTGAATTAATATTTTTTCATCTCAGGAAAGCCTAGAGCTGGGCCGCCTGTGAACTCTGTTAAGTTTGGCTTCGCAACTACACAACTTCGATGTGTCCTTTCGGCATCGTTAATATGTTGGCAGCGTTTGTCCTTCATTTAAGACACCTTTTCTAACTTCTATGAATCGGAAGAAGGAATTAAATCGATAAATAAGTGATGGCCTTTACCAATCTGATTTCCCCCACTGTGCTTGCCAATTCCGTTCGGGTTTCTTTGAAGCTTCTAGGAACTCGATTTTACTAATTTTTTTTTATCAGTAGATCACGTAGCTCACGCTCGAACCCATAACAACGGATAATCTTCATTTCAGAAATATCTCCTTAGAAATTATTTTGCGAGCATGTCCGCGTTCCAAAATGCGACCAATGTGAAAATTTCTCAAAAGCAATAGGTAAATTAGAAATCTACGAGAAATCTACGAACGTCAGGACTAAAGATGAATGCATGGCGAAGATACCTGCTTCGGTGAGACAGCATTTGTCTTAGTTTTTGCGTCTGGGCTGTAGGAGGTTTTCTCGACATCTGTAATTTCTATTTCAGGATTCTCTTTGTTCATTTTTAGAATTACGTTGTGTCGGAGTTTTAAAAATTACCGCTTTCCTTGAGCTTCGCAGTAAGTAATCTTGTAACAAAATGTCGCCTACTTACCAGTTTTTTATCTGAGAGTTACTACCTCATCACTACAAAACAGCAAAATTTGTTGAAGATAACTATTAATTAGGATAGGTGGTAATAATGTGTTGATAATAAAGCATGAGTTGAAAAAGTGATTGGAAACAATCCAATCTTGTCAATCATTGTGATAAGGCGACCTCTATTCATCTAGGAATTAAAAAATTCACTCAAAATTCACTGATAACCTTTTGTTATTGATACTTTCATAGCACAGAATTTTCAAGTTTTCGGACTAAAACACTTGGAAGTTTCTCAGACATCTTAGCTAAGAACGTTAGTATATGACATTTGGCTTACCTCGTTCGCCAACGTGGCATCCATAGTTCTTCTGAGCTCTGACTCATTTTCGCCTCCGACTAGAAGTGCGCAAAAGACAGCCGCCTTTGCTGGTATAACTTCGCGTATCTCGCTATTATTGTCACGCAATACCAAAGTACATAACCGCATAGCGGTGCCATCTTGCTGAAGTGCCAATATCGTCTCACCTGCTGACTGAAAGGCCAGCTTAATGCTCTGAACACGTAGTGCATCATGTACTCCGAATACTTCGACGTACTTACTCGCTATGTAAATCATATTTTGTAACTTGAAAGCGCTCTTTACCAGAGCCTTGTCAATCTGTTGTTTGCATTCTCGATAGACTGTCGCGATATTTTCTGCGGATACCTTCTTATGATGTACCTGAACAAGTGTTACTGTTAAATGCAGGGCCGCGCAGAATTCAGCATCGTTTTGCAGTGCGAACTGCTTGAAGATTGTTTGGACAGGTTCGATGGTACTCATCCGTTTCACAACCGTGTATTGTACAAAATGGATAAGATCGAGAACCTTTTTAACCGGTGGTGACTGCTGAATACACGTCGAAGGATCGAGTCCAAGGACTTTGTCAAGGCAGAGTGTAGCCAGATGACAAATAGACCCTAAGTCTGAGTCATCACAACAACCTTTGAACTTAAAAGCCGAAGAAAGATCCTCGAAGAAATAAGACGCATCAGACAAGAATTTCTCGGTAAGTGTACTTTGCCCCAGTATGACTATCAGGGTGAGGCCAAACAATTTCAAACGCAGTTCAGGAGGAAGGCAGACTACCGGCACTAAGGTCAAAAGGTCTTTTGTTTTAGCTACGATATCGATCAAATTGGTTTTGGGGTGGATTCTTGTTAGGAGTTCCTGTAGTCTCTTCCAACGTATTGGCGTTTCCCGATTGTTTATCTCGAGAGTATCGATCATTTGTGGATACGACTGACTGACAACTTTTGCTAAATTATGTGTGACAAGTTTCACAAATGCAAATACTTGCCTCGAATCGCTCCGGAATAACTGCGATTGGACATATGTGCAGCTTCTATGCGTTACTAGGTAATCGAAAAGTAGAGCTACAAAGTGCTCCACTTTCTTTTTTGAGGCGTTTCGTACGACCTGAGGATGACGACAAAGTATAGATTGCCAATCTATATTGTCAAAGTTGGCACAAATATCTTCTAAGCACAAATTTGCTCTCGACTTTGGCTCTTGCGACAGCTTGATATTGCTGCAGAGCACTTCAAGTTTTAACGCCTTTTCTTGTCTTAAGAATTTTAGGTTATCTTCGATTAATGCTACTAATTCTTCTTGAAAACGTGTTGCATCATCAGTACCAGAATCAGTAACACTTCCTTCTAGGTAATAGGTGCGGATAAAACGGCATTTTATAAATGCTTGGCTTATTTTAACGTAGTGAAGGGCCGTGTCCTTAGCTATATCAGGCATTTCTTCGGTTAAATTAAGTAGTAGCTTAGTAAGTTTCAACGTATTCTCTATTGTATTGTCCATCGTGGTATACTGCTCTGCGGTAATTTCCATCAGTGGAACAAGGGAACAGTGTTGCATAAATTCGGCAAATACCTTCAAAATAAATGTTTGTGGATTCTTGTTAATCACTCCAGCTCTTTCCTTCCATTTCTGGAGAACCTGAAGAAGATATCTTACATAGTCAGCCCATATTTTTATAACATCGTCGGGAGAAAGGGCACAAAAATTCATTCTCATCCTGATTAAAACGACCTCCGACAGCGAGGGTTCAGGAACACCCGTCTCAAGATAATCATTTATGGCTCCCAAAAATCGGGTATAAAACTCAGCCGCTTTATGCATCCTGTCATACATGTTAATGAGAAAGATCAGGAATTCATCTCGCGCTCCAGGATCATCTGGAACGCAATCAAACCAAGCTTTCTGTAAGATAGTCCTCAGCTTTTGTACTACGACATTCGAAGCGACAGTAGCCAGGTATAGTAAACCACGATACCAATCGGAAGATCCTTTAGCGGGGTGTTTTATAATAAACATTAGTATGTCGTTAAATACAAGGGTTCCACGAAACCGCTTCTTGGTGGTGATGAGGACGGATGGATGGTACATGCCAGAGGAAATATAGACTTCCAGCAGTTTAACAACATGAAATAAGCGTTCCGTTTCCTCCAATTCAGATTGCTGAAACGAAAATAAAAATAGAAGAGCTGTCTTGTTAAAACTAAAAGAGTCACGTAAGTGCTGTAGAAAGGTACAATTGTGGGACTGGTTTGAAACTATCTGGTATAGTTCCTTGTGATGGAACCCAGCCATATGATTGGATGCCAAATGGCAATACCAGCTGTGAAACTCGAGAAGAAATCGAAAGTAGGGTGCTTCGCGCTCCTATTGATGTTGAGTAATAGAGGGTGCTATTGAAAAGTTCAGCAAGCAGCTCGAAAACTGGCCGAAAAAATGGAAGGAACTTGAAACTTAGGTACCTCTCTGAATTAAAGAAATAATTGCGGTTTCAAGCTGAATCTCAACATCTCGCCGGATGTTGAGTTTTTTTTTCTTGACCAGTCCTTTTAGTGCTAACATAGTTATCATGAGTTCCCCAAGCTGTGGCTACAGCGTTTTGCCTTGACGAAATGCATAGTACAGGCGTCAAAAACGCACTGTTGTCCACTTGTAGCAATCGTCTTTGAGGAGTACACCAAATGAGGGAAAATCGGGAAAGGAAGTTTTCTAGAAGCGCCGGAACTTTTCATATTTATAGTCTATTACTTTATATATATATATATATATTGTACTGAACGGGCACTTGCATAATAGTAATGGAAAAACATTTTTCTCAACGAACAAACTATAACTTTTGTTACGATTAGGAGATACTTAAGCATAAGCAAAAATAGACACTAAAGACTGACTGACATGTGGGAAAATTTACTACTCTACGTATTGGAGTAGCTGCAGATGGTTCGGTAAGCCATAGACGCCGTGAACGTGCAGCTACGTGCTCTTTCTGTAGTTTGTAGAGCTATTGTCTCTCACACAACACACTTATTTTCTTTACGGAGATAACAGGCATAGATCTTGAGCTAAAATATCGTTTTTAAAGGTCTCTGAAATGAAGACGCAATTGCTCTAACTGACTTTTTTACAAGATTTTTGTGTTATGAAGCAGAATTCAACGACACTTTCTTTATCGTACGCTGTACTCGACACGGCTTCAAAAATAGCCCTTAGATTAGTCTAATGTAGGTCTCGGCCTGACTTGATTTCGACCTAAACCTGATTGCCGATTTCCTGGCTCGACAGTCTAACGCTTCGGTTGCAAACAAAAATTATAGGTTAGGACAAAAATAACAAAATTGAAACAGGTGATACGTCATTACCTCCCGCTGGCAATGATAAACGCTTTAGATTATAAACATGCCTATCGTACATAAGCATGTTTAGAATATAGCCAGACATTTTATCTGTCAGGTCGTGAAAAAATATGGGCTACATCTTTTTTTTGGCAAGTGCTGGACTAGCTGGTGCTATGACTAAGAACTAATGATGGTATAACGAAAGGCTGCGTTAAATAGGGAACGTAACACGTAGTGTACTTTTTTGAGAGCTATCATCTCATAGAGCCACTAATACACATGTGTCTGTTCGTAACTATCCTATTGACATAATTTATTACTATCAATAATACGGATTAAATGCTGAATATGAAATATTGGCCACCGTCGTGAACATAGTAGTCAGTATAAATGACGTAGGGGTTTCTCGAATAGTGCTCTGGTTTTAGTAAAAATGATGTATTGGAAAAGTCTAGATTACTCTACAGCAGCTTAATAGTGACTAAAATCTTGTAGTTTTAATCTAATAGTAGACTTTTGGTGTTATTATTTACCGGATATTCAAGTATGGAGGCGGTCGGCATACATTTTATGGGAGCTCCGGCCGCTTGTAGAAAATGAACAAGCAGCATTAGTGCACTTAAATAATCTTTTTGATCCACTAGACGAAGCAGAAAGGCATTTAGTAAAGCCCATAGAAATGAGTAACTGAAACATAGACAACAAAAGAGCAGTCATGGTGTCAAAATCATTCCATATATAACGTACTCGTTATATATGGTATGATTTTGGAAAGGATTACTCGTAAAAGCAAAAATCGCGGAACTCAGGTGCTTTACGTTCCTTACATTGAACAAGTACAGCAATATAGACAAGCAAACAACCTTCATGTATGAAGATATAGCTTCGATAGCGAAATTTTTTAAAAAAGCTAGTTTAAACTGTTCAGGATCTGGAATCTTTAGGAACTAAAGCTTAATGTTTTCGACAGAAAACTCAGCCAATTTAAGTATGCAACTATATTGGAAACTCGGCCTTGCCCTTTCAATAATAATCTATTTATTATTCTATTATAAAATTTCAAGACACAAGACTCTAGGATCTTAGTAACAGTGCTTTTAACCCCATCTTGTCTATTGATTTTAACAATTTATTAATTTAAGAAATTCACATCTTACTACAAATGACAATATTGTGAAGCAAGGCTTGCTGAATGTACAGGGTTACAAAAAGCTTCAGTCCACAATTCTCCATTTTTTGTCAGAATAACGTTCAGACACTTTTTTTTTTGCTTTTTTTATTTTTCCATTTGCTCCACTTTCTTTCCTGACGTTTAAGAACTGCCTTTTATTAATTATTATTAATAAAAGACAGTCTTTAAATATATAAATAATAATTATTATTACTTTATTACTTATTGCGTATTGTTGCAATATCATAGCTGCTTTGAGCCTTGCGACATAACACACACGAGCCCGAATGAATGTGAACATTAGGGTGATAATCTCTCAAATCGACTGAACGGTGTTTATCAGAAAAACGTACCCCATAAGTACACCTCGATTTTCAGCGAACGTCTTGACAAACTTCACTGCCTGGTGATCGAACAGGTATCCAATATCTGATCTTGACTTATCCACCTGTCCTGTCATATCGTTGAGTTTTTTGATAGCGGAAGCCAGCTTTGCACCTCCAAAAAATGCTCCAGCTATTGAACGGCACAGAGTCACAACCTGATGCGACCGAGGATTAAATCTAAAAGAAGAAAAGTCATATACGCTTATAAAATCTAAAAGAAAATGCGCGTATTTGTATCATTCGCTTACAATGAAAGTGTTCGTCAATATTTACTCGTGAAATTCCATGCCATTTTCAAGTTCTAACATTCGCACACATATTCGTAAGGACAGGTTTTTCTACATCTTTTTGTCCTTCAGGGCAACACATTACAGCATAAGAATATAGCGAGAGAAAAACGAAGTGTTGATACAAAACGATGGGAACGCACTCTCAAACACAAAAATCAACTTTCTGTATGCATGTGTTTTGTTCTTGGGATGTGAAACAACAAGTGGGACAAACAAGTTCCTTCATGAGTAACATAAAGGAGTGCATGAATAAAAAAAGTGGAAATTAAAGCTTTATTTAGTGTATGGTAAACATGTAATAATAGAAAATAAATAAATCAAAATATAAATAAAAAAATAAAATAAATATACGGGACTTCGAGAACACTATGACAGCAAAACCACTCGGTTTGTAAACATTATCAGATAAAATATCCCTAATCTGTATTATTTGTAGTACTTTTAGATGTATATGTTATCAATGCGTACAATGGGTACAACTCCTTTTTTCAGTGTTATGGAAAGAGGACTTTTTACGTTGTTATAAACAAAATTAAGAAAAAAGAGACCAGGCCAGCGAGTTTAAGTTTAAGAAGGAATTGTTGGTTTTACTGCGGACAAAAACAAACACTACAAAAGGAAGACAAGTCAAAAAAATACCAATGGTTCATCTTATCAGCGAACGTCGTAGAGAGTGTAATTGTACATCCCTAATAATGCGTACTAGATTGACGTATATAAGTAATGGCGAATATGCTTTTTCAAGTATTTTCTTTTCGCTTCTTTTGTCCACAGTTTATATGCTTCTACATATTGTTTGAAAATGCTCCCTCTCCTTCATAAGCCTGCAATTTTATTATGCAGAGAAGGAAATTTAAGTTCCAGAGCTTTAAAGATAGATGCTCTTGGAAAAAAAAGATGCATATTCGACACCTACTTGTCAAGGCCAAAGATCTGCCGAAGCAGCTCGAGATACATATATCTCGAGCTGCTTCGATATGTATAACCCTTGTCTGAAAGGACTGCTCAAAAGTGGTTTGTGAAGTCAGTAAACGCATTTTAGAACTGAGAGGTGCATTCCACTTTTTGCGACCGTCAAAGCTCGATAAAGACCGCTTAAAGGCATTTTTGAAGCCGAACCGCCAACAAGCGACTCGTGAATTCACCTAGAAATGGAACTAGAGTCATATGACTATTACCAAGTATTTATGCAATTCACTCAAAAATTATTACCTTGGGTACTTATAAACTTAACAAAGAGTACAAGGAAACATGGTGTCCCATTACCTCTCGTCATTGTACCAGTAGCAGCCAACGCAAACAACAATGAGAAGTCCCAATACAAAATTATTATTGATGATTACCGATGGACTTTTTGCATCAATATAACGTAGAGAAAGGAATGGGTAGCTTCGAGAGACACGTCTAGCTTATAGCCAAGCCAAATCGCTATCTCGAAAAGACCGTGATTTACATTTGGTGCGACTGCAAGGGTTTTATACATCGTTACCACTTCAGTCAATAAGGATCTATATATGACCTAGCTACTTCGTTAAACAAGGCTATCTAACGGAAAGAACCTGATAGACAAGGCAAACACATTTTTTTTTACAACAACGCAAGATCACGCATGGCAACAGGCGTTAAAGCGACTCCGCAAGAGCTTGACAGAGAATTAATAAATTTTTTGGGAGGTTAATGTATATTATAGATGTTAGTACAGTGCAGTACAGATATGAGTTTCATTCAACTGTTCTATCGGATAGGAAATCTGAAAACAGGATGAACCTCCCCCTCTTTTCGTCTAAAGCTTCGTGCCATTCAGAGTACAGCATCTAAGCTAATGATTCATATATACTGAACTTTACCTTTTTTTATATCCGTCGATATCACATAGATTGTAAATGCATAATACGACCTTATAGAACATTTAGCTAAGGAAATGTACGCAGTGTCTTACACAACACGTTTTGACACAAACACATGTATACATTAAAAAGCATTAAGACATTTAAACAACTGACGTGAGAAGAGTACAGCGTATTGTAAACAAGCTATGTCTGTTAATGTTATAGATAATCAAATAGTAAGGCCAACAAACCTGGACACTTCAATCGCGTATGAAATGCCATTTTTCCAGAATTTCACCTGCTTCTCTAAGTCTAAAGGTGATTTATTGTCCGGTACTGCGGTACTGTAGTCCACGATACAGCTCTGAAGGGCACTGACGAGTTCTACAAAGAGTGGCGTTCGAGGTAGCGTCTCGTAGAGGAAAGTTGAAAGGTCGTACTGAAAGATAGTATTTCGCAGATCCCAATATGCTTTAAAAAAATATTACCACGCATTGCCAAGAGGGGTATGGATTATTCACTGTACAAAATATGTAGAGATGATTCTTACGTACTTTATAGCAACTGTTTATAGTCAGGTAGTTTTTTATTTTTGAAACATTTGACTATTTTCTTTTTAGGAAAAGCCTACGCTTTTGTTTTTCAAAAAATCATTAAAACTTTGTTTTATATGCATAAACTCTTTATGTATGCTAGGCAAGCTTGGCCTGAGGACTTCAGGAGCTCTGCATCCAAATATTTTAAGCGTAGTTTTTAAGTTGACTCGGACATCGCACACAATAAAATTGTTTTACTCACGATTAGATCAGGTCCTTCATTGAGACATACAGATGTCATGAATTCAGTCACAAAGAAAATCATTGCTTGCAAGATTATTTCAGCATCGTTGGTCCCTTCACTGTCCATAGTATTCAGCAATTCTAACGCGGGTTTCAGTGTCTACAAGATCGAAAAAAATATTACTTTTTATAACACCTTTACGCTATATGCACAAAAAGGGCTTTCTGTGCATAATTTTATTTTTATTATTATATTATAATTATTACCAATCAACATTATTAATCGATAAATAATCCATAATAAAGGTTTTATAATTACAAGGCCATGCAGATAGTCGAACAACCTGAAAATCAACAGGGTTTCCTAAATAAATATACACTGGTTGACACATCATAAGTTCCTGATCGTTGTTTTTTTTCAGAATTTAACTAGAAATAAAGCGTTAACCTTAAAAAATAGCGTTAACAAATTAACCTTAAAAAAAAAAGGAGTATGTTAATACGTTATTGAAAGTATGAGAAATAGCAGCGCAAAATACAAAGACAATCGAAAACGAAAGAAGTTTCAGGATAATGCAACCACACGATTGACAATTGATCAAATAAAAGTTTAAAACTTTTGGTTCAGGATTTTCAAAGGCACCGTTCTGGAAGACCAAAATCATCAATAAGGTCAATTTATAGAACTGTCGTCAATAAATCATGCATCTATCGCACTTTAAAACGTTGTAAATGATGAAAAAGACATTACATTCAAAGAGTGACACATACTATCAATAAAGAAGAACAGTACCGAAAGAAATTACTTTTCGAATGATACTTGGAGAAATGTGAACAGAATACACAGCTATCAGGGGCAATTGTTTGGAGCAGGGTAGCAATATCCGTATTAAATGGCACAATTAGACGACATAATTCCACTTACTGTGCAAATTCACTATGTTACGCAAAAGCACCATCCACCTATACGATCTAAAAGCTGTAGCGTGGTGCGGCATTTCAAACAAAGCATTAATTGGACCATTCTTGTTTGAAAGAGCGGTGAGTGGAATCAGTAACTTGAATTTACTACAAGCGTTTGCTTCATCATGCATTCGACAAAGCTTTCTTAAAGATTTAGTTTGAACAAGACAAAGCATCCGCACGGTATTTTCGTGATATAAAAGCATACATTGATGGAAATTTTCCAATGGGGTGGGCTGAGCAAAAAGGTGCTATAGAATATTCTAACGCCAATGGATTTTCTTGTGGAATACCCTAAAAATCTAGGTTATCTAGGCCAGAAAATCGACGACATTAAAAGATTTAAGCCGTGAGTAAACAAGAATGCTCCGGAACATCAAATGTAGTATTTATTGGAGTTTGCCAATCAATAGCTTACAGTTATTAGCAGTGTATTGACCAGAATGGTAATAATTTTGAACACCTTTTGTAGTCAAAAAAATTAGACAAATATGGATTACATGTGAGCAAAAATTTGACTGATGAATATTTAAATTTCGTAATATTCTATACTTACAAGTGCAATGCGTGTACAACATGCTGCATCCAAATCTCCAGTTTTTAGCGTTTCACGAAGAGCGTGTAACAACTTCCATCCAAGTATGGGCGCTTGACTCATGCTCTGTTCCAGTTCAGCCGTCAGTGTAGTTTTCTCCAGCCGTCCAGCTTTAAACCATTTCTCCACAAAGGGTTCCCCCACCGATAGGTTCATCTTAAGAGAGCGCATAACAAAAACATGAATAACGTTTCTCTCTCTCTTAGTAGTAGTGCTCTAACAGATGAAAACATTTATAATGTTATTACATTAATAAAAGCACACTCATTCTTCGCCAGTAGATCATCATTTTTTAGGAACTGGAAAACAGGTATCATAAATATCCATCTTTTGGCGCGTTGAACTTGGTACATCTCGTAAAGGAATTTTTCAAAAATAAAAATTGTGGTAAGCGGAAAGGTGATTATACTCGGCATATTTTAAGATCCATAACTGCAACAGTGAGATCCTGCCAAATATGACAGAGACAAGCATTTACCAACAAAATATCTGTATATAATATTGTGCTTAAATCATACTGACTGTTATATGAAACCTGTCGAAATTTGTCGCCTTCTATCATGCTCAGCTGCTGAGATCAATACTACATACAGATACTCTATTGAAAATATAATAGCTTTACATCAGCTAAATTAATTTTAAAATGATTTATTATAAATTTTAACAGAACAACAGAGCCTGTTCCTGCGCGGCAAACTGCTGCCATAGTTCGCAGAACAGAACACATTCTACTGTTCTGGAGCACCAAAAAAGGCGTTTGCCTTTTGTTGGTTTCCCCCGCTCTCTGGTAAAGACGGAATAGCCTCGATAAATCACCTTCTGGCTCATACATGGTTATTGTAGCATTGTCATTCTTCGCAGTTCTTTCCAAGTAGTGTCGGTATTAAAACCATTCAAGATAGAAAGTTCGCTACAAAATGACGATGGTGCAAAAACGGCCACAAGAATTTTTACATTAAGTAGTATCCTAAATACAATTTGATGACTCGTTATCTTGTCGTGAAGCTGTCTGCTTGTTATCAAGAATATTCGACATCTGCAGTATAGAAAGCAGCCGATATGAACTAGAGCCGCGAACCACAATCTTATATATAGTACAACAATTCCTCGCGGAATCGTCATTTGCACAAGCTTCGCTACTAAAGGAGGGACGCAAAAAGCAGGTTGAAAATCGTATTGAGCATATCGTATATACTTTTGACAAACAAATTTGTCCACACAAATTCCGACTAGACTGGTGTAGACACTGAGATAGAAACTTTTGTACAAAAGAATTTTTCAGTGGCCCTAGTTGAGGGAGACGTTTTTTATTTCTGGCGTTATATTTAACAATGTTATATTTAGTAATGGCGTAACAATGCTTCATCATATTCAGCCGATATCTCAACCAACCGATAAAATCCGCCAGATCGTGGTATTTCATATATTATATCGCGGTTCGAATGAGCAGTCTAATAATAAGTTTAGAGAAACGAGTAAATTTCCGTTAAAGTTTTTGATAACATTAGTATAAGGTGAAGTTGATTTGAAAATTACGGCTTTTTCCCGATTCAGTTTTCAATTGTGCTTACTAAATAAAAGTACCAAACATAAATACTATGTAAATGTCTCCCTTCGCAGAAAAATGACTTATGCGTCTGGTGCTAATAATTTTTTGTGCAAAATTGTTGTCGTCCTGAGTCCAAAAATACCAGACTGGGCTCGCAAGCAGACGCTGCTAATGAATTATCAGTTTTCAAGGTTAACACTGAAATAGAAACAAATGTTGAATTAATTTTCAGTATCATTTAAAAGGTTCAATTCAAAATGCATGTGCTTTGATGTCACCTGATGGAAGTTAGGCTTCCCGCTAAAAAAAAGACTACCTTTTATAATTTAGTCTAGTCATTTTCAAGACTTAAACCTAAAAAAAATGCTGTAGGCCATAACGGACAAATAGGTTAGCACTACAAAATCCAAATACGCATCAGAATAACAACTTCGATGACGAAAAAACTATCTGCGCACTTAATATGCTATAAATAAAACGGGGTACCGTAGGCTTTTTCAAAACTACGGTATCAGTAAACTGAGACAGGAAATATAGTTAACTGCAAAGTATGGTTTTGTGTTCAAATTTTCATATTAAAAAAATTATTCCGACATGAATGATCCATAAATGTAGTAAACTTTATGCCACTTCTACCTATACATACATATGCGACGTTATTCCACTACACAAATTCTACCGTTCCATTACACTAGCACCTGGCATGCCTGGCTTAAATTTTTTACAAGTAATTTTAAATAAATACGTAAAACTGACACATCGTGTTTCAGCGACCGCAAATATGATGACTTGCTGTAGTCGGATCCTAGTGAGTCCAACTTCACATTTCATGGTAACATCTCGTACTATATACGAGCCAGCGCATTCACACTCACGACTGTGACCGGTGCTGAACGACTAAGTGATGATGCTTTTTAGGTAAGCGTGACTAGTTTGAGTTTCTTTCTACGTAAGGTATCGAAATTGGAAAAAGAACGGATGTTACTAAGGGGCAGAAAACACTGATTAGCACAATGCTGCGACAAAATAAATGTGCGACACGAAACTGCTAAAACACTTCATGTTTTCCAGTACGCAATCATTAAATTTGAAAGTTAAGAGAAAACCTCATCATCGCGTAAAATTAATAACAAAAGTAAAAAGTTATACTAAAGAGTAGAAGGACCATATGATCAGTTGCTAACTTCAAAAAGTAGGTTTGTCTCTTAATGCCTTGCAGAGTATAATAAAAAACCGTAAACCTGCTGTGTGCAAAATTGGGCTTCATTGTTTAATCAAAGACATTGGGTTCAAGAGTAGTAGCTTTGCCAAGAAACGTTGATATATGAAATAATGAAAAAAAAATGGTAATATGTGGCAATAGGATCCACTTATGGCTGAGATAGCGAAAAGCTGCACGAAAAGTATGCTGCAAAAAGCAGCGCTAAGTGCCACTGCCAGAGGCACCGCCATGAGATGCTATTGCTCGCGACCACATCACATCGGTTGTCAGCGATTTAAAAATGTTTGCTGGTGTCTTCGTCGGCATGTAGAGTAGCATTAGTAGTAGTAGAACAATACTGGTTTTGTAGTCAAGAACCATTTAAAAATGTCTCGGTACTGCGCAATTGGTCTTTGAAGTTGATACTATCTGATTGAATATATATATACATCCTTGGCCCTTTAAGCCGCCCCGTCGATGTATATATTTTCGACATACATATATAGTATATAGGACGTGTTATTAAATAAAGAAACAAACAAATATTCATCATATATGTACCTTGATGCTCTTTTTATCGTGGTTTCATACGTTTAAATAGTAACAGTCAACGGCACGAAAAATGTGAAGACAAGCACGGTTGTATTCCACGGTTATTTTAATACAACGTATTGAACAACACATCTCACTTAGTCTGCAACATGTCTTCGGCAGACGCGTGCACCGGCGCCGCGTTGCTCTATTGACAAACATTGCTAGTTAAATTCGTCTGCGTCACAGTTGCAAGCTAAAATTTATTAGTCGACCAAAGAGATGGTTTTATTTATAGAATTATAACTATTATCTTTAGGTTTTCTTTAGGAGTTATTGTGAACATTTTAAAAACAACAAGCAAAACATAAAAAAATTATTGTATTGCGTAAATAACTGAGTATAATATTTATTAAAAATAACATCTGTTACGAAAAACATTGAGCAAGCGATCACCGTTAGTTTTCAATAGTTTCAGGATAAAATACTCTGTAACAGTGAAAATCTTAGTACTATCGGCTTTGTGTGTGTTATGTCAGATATGGATAAATGGGCGTAACTATAAACAAGAACTGTTATACGAGTAGTCACTGAGGGGGGAGGGGGGGAATTCCCACGTTTCTTGACTGCACGTTTATTTTCAATATGGTAGAATCTATGTGCACAGACCGTCAATACACCTTGAGCCGAAATGAGGCACATGCACATCTGTGCATCACATAATTTTCTTATTATCGTGAAGTTATTCAAGTTACCAGTATTATCGTTAGATTCATATCATTCATTGACATAATCATGTGAAAACGCATTGACTGTTTTTCTGAGGCTATATATATATAACCTGCTTATGCTGGCATACACTTTTTTTATTACACATTTTTCTTATCTTTTGTTTCTAAGACTATTTAAACAAAAATAAATATTTCAATGAAGTCTTTTGTATGGCGGAAAACGAAGGCCAGAGTGTAATCAAGATTCTATTATAATTCCATAAATCTAAATTCCAAAATAGTTTAAAGAATTGGATCGGTTTTTGGTAGTTTCGGAAAATCCCCTAGCTGGACAATCTCGTAGGAAAGGTCTGGTGTAACACAATGTGCGGACAAGTTTAATTATGAAATATCAAATAACGATATAAAAAAGACGACACATTGGGTTTTAGATCAATAATAATTGTACGGTGGGTTTATCACATTTTAGTTACTTGCCATATTTAGTGGTTGCTGAAAAAAACAATACTAAAGCTTTTTGTGCATTTTATGAGCCCCGCATTGCGCACGAGCATGAAGTGTATAAAGTTGCCGTTTTGCTGTTATTCTTAACATAATAACCTCTGTACCTTTACAAGTACCCGCATGGAGCAAGTTTAGTTAGCTAGCCAGCTGCCTCACGCACCCTGCTAATCACAAGAGCATTTTCAGAGCAGGAAATAGGCAAATGGGCCTCTGTTTCCCAAACCAGCTCTATTTTAAAATTCAGTGAATCGTACAATATATGACACACACACAATGCATTCTGTGCTTTATAATATCTATAAAATCCTACTTCATATCTAAAGAAACGATCTTACAGCTTAAGGAAGTGAAAAAATGTTGGGTACAAAAGGCCGCACTGATTTATTAATACCATCGGTTTTCACGATTTTTGAAGGAATTGTTAGTATAACATCTGGTACAGTTCGGTTCTTGTTTTATGATTTTTAGTCTTAGCCTTTGCGATCCTCTGCCTTCGGTTAGCAATGTACATTGTTGAATTTACTAATATACTGCAAGATATAATTGTCAAAAAAAAAACTGAACGTACTTTGGGTGTTTATTCTTTTATTAAAATAAAATGACTGGTCGCAAACTTAACGTGTTCTTTTGGTCTTTAGGCCATTATTCCGCTACCCAGGCCTTTGATCGAAGACACCCGATTTGTGAAATTTTAAACTACCTTATGTAAATTCACTAGAACTTTAGGATGGGACAAAATCCTGCATCACTTTGTGTAAATCATTCAGTGATATCTGACAAGCTATACTAAAAGTTTAGACAGAAATTTTAACTTTAATAAACCTAATGGATTAAAATGCAATGGAGGATACATTCATGAATCACGTATAAAAAACATGAGCTCCTTACAGTGTTTTCTCTACAGCTTTTACAAAAATATTTTCGTCAAGTTATTATTATCCGGATAAATGTAAATAAATAAAACTAAAATATAGTTAAAATAGTTATTGAATTTAAACACACATAAAAATCCTCGCAATTCTCGAGTTGTGTCAAATGAGATAGATAAAAAAAATACTTGCGCCAATGCCACGTGAACTATAGCCAAACACGGTTACGAAAGCGGTGCGAAAAATAGAATTGGAATTCAATTTTTAATAAAAACGTTTGAATCATTTGGTCATGGTTTACATTTTAATATTATTACTGAAAATAGCTTTTTAGATGTGCATGTTGAACTAAAGATTACTACCGTATACTGTACTGGGTTACTGCATTAAAGAATTTCGCAAAGTGCTCAGGTCGTTTGAAGCTCCGTTTACTGAGCCCAGATAAAAAAGGAAATCAGAGCAGAAGAAATAAAATTGCTCAAAATGTGTCAAATCAGAAAAATGGGAAATTTATTCGGATCATGAAATTTTTCCAACTAATTTCAGGATCGTGCAACCTTGATGTACACTCACGCAGTAAACAGCTAAAGCAAGATTCAAATATTCGAAGCTAATAGGAAGAATTATTTTGCTTGGTTGGGGGTGAGTGATTATAACGCAGTCTTGATGCCATCTGACATAAATCCCAACAAATGACGAACAAGAGCTAAGAACCTGAGGTCATGATGGGATATTTGTATGTTACACCCATTGCTATATACTATCGTACCTCATTATAATAATGTCAGGATGCCATAATGGCTTCTTACATTTAGACGCTTACTTTTAGCGTGCTAGGCTAACTAAAGACCCCGCAAAAGCTTAGACACACTCCGTTTTGTGGTAGAAGCCAGTCATCAGATACCGGACGTAAAACTGGAATAAAGAGGTTGGCTAAAGTCACTTTTAGATTTGATTAAGAACTAACGAGAGCATTCTTAAACTCTGACTATGAGAAGTAACTTCATACGAATATTAATATATAAAGTCAATGGTTTTCTCTTGTGAATAGGTGTAACGATGAAGGTATTAGTAATATTAGTGTAAGGTCCTCTCATGTGTCAGGTATAAAATGGTAGTTAAAAAACGATATCCAACATTTCCATATAAATTTTGTAACTACTTTGGGAATACATTAAGACCCCGCTGCTGCCTACGGAAAGTATATTTATCGGAAGAATAAAACTTCCTAGTACCGCCGTTGACGAGTCTCCCTTTTGCAGTTAACCCTGAACTTTTTTATTTGTATAATTTAATCTAGCAAAGGTTGTTGCATAATTACGTCTGCGACTAAATCTACGTCGCGCTTTAACTTCTCTTAGTTTGATATTTGGGCTACATCTACTTTTCAGTTTTTGTAACTTCAATTGTTTGAGTTATATATATCTTAAGATATGCAATTTTCCGAAAACCTGTATAAGCTTTTTCCTTGCACTCAGCTTCTAATATTTAAGCCATTCTAGACGCCGATATGCAATAAATACCTTTCAGTATGTACTTCAGCTGTTACAAAAAAAATGAATTAGAGTTTCGGAAAACTATTAGCTTTGTGAACTGACAGTGCAACACCAAAAAAATAAACATATTTTTTATAATGGTGCCAAACAAAACAGCATGTATAATAACTTAAATTCTAGATGGTCACTCAATACCGAAGGCATCAGAATATAAACACCTTGAAATCAAATTCAACCATTCTGTGGATTTAGGGGCACACTGCACAAGCGACTCTCAAAATGTAACATAGTCATGAGGATTCCAACGAAACGGAATGTAAGCATGTACCTCAAACTGTACTGCGTGCAAAGTGGGCATACTGCTGTTTTCACGTTTGGGCTTAAGATTTTCGCAGCACGTGCATAATAGGCTTACAGAGTGAATAGCATATACATAATCTTCCACGTGTTGGTCGAACCCATTCTAACTTCTTAGACCACTTGCTTTAAAGATGATTTAATAAAATAGCGCTCTTGTATGTGCCACTGTATAGCTCTTTATTCAGTATTTCACCTGGTATCTTTCTAATGACTAAATCATAAGCCTTGGAATTATTACCATGGTGCCCAATCGTATTAGCCGTTTTTAAATGGATAAGTTAAAGCATTTTTTAGCTTGCTAAGACAACCCTGTACCTTCATTTGTGTCGATAATTGGTACACACTATCGTAACAATGGGCTGAAAGGTATTCACAAATTCTGAGTGTTTTTTTTTGAAGATGTATTCGCCACTAGATTCAAAATACAGAATTCGGGCACCAAAATTGTTAATAGTTTTTAAAACATTTGTATTAACTACATACTCAGTCAACGACTGGCATCATCGCAAACGATTTGTTCTTTGTTTCTGTTTCTCTTTTTGAAGACTCCGTTTGTGCGCATTGGTTTACCGCTTTACTTGACTACTGGAACTGCCTTCACCAAAGGAGCTCCAGTAGTCAGGTTCGTACGTAACGTAGAGAACGTAAAGAGCATTGCAGTGCACAACAATCGGTATGGAAAGGAACATGGGAGTTCTTTCACGTAACGCATCAGACCGGCTGCCATAACACATGGGCTTTCGTCGACATAAATAGATGAATCGACATCACAACCAAACATTAACCGGCGCGATACCAATGCAGTACTCGCTCATCACGTAGATCGACAAACGTCTTCTTTCATGTTGTTCCACGATCGTTTGTAAAAGGTAATGGGAGCGCTCTGTTCGGCCTCTTTTACTAGCCATTCATCTTCCCACCAACTAGAAAAAGGGCGAGATTAATTTGCGCTCCTTTTTTACGCGTCCATAGTTGTAACTTTTGATAGATTTCTGTTGCTGGCAATGTGAACTTCTTTTACAAATTCACAACAAAAAGTAGCGTTCGACAACCAGATGACTTATAGTAGCGGTATGTGGCATGAGAACGTACTTTAGGAATGCGAGCTCAGTGTAATTAAATAGGAAAGCATTGCTAAACGCTTCCAGATCATCGAAAAACCAAAGTACGCTGTTGGACTGTCTCTAAATCGAAAGGACTCAGTGCTATTTTTACCGATAGCCT